CATCCGATACCGACTCAGTATCTACGTCCTCCTCCTTTATGGCTTCTTTTAAAATCTACAATGCAATACACATTTTTAAAAAGCTAATGTAGTTTTATTTCCTACTTGCTGCTCTAAATTATAAAAACTTTACTTTATTGCTTACATTTGTGAAATTTAGAATTGTCGCTGTCAATATTCAAATGCACAAATGACAACAAAGACCTTAGACATTGTATAACAATTACCGTTACTATGGCAACCTTGCTTCCTTGACGTTTGTAGTTTGCCAAAGAGACCACACTTTGCAACATGAAGGTTTTTCCAATTTATTTACACCCTAAGTTTAATAGCGTGAAAATATATAGCTTAAAGTATGTCAGCAAGTATAGATATAGATAAAATAGATATATAATTTGAAGTACCTTCAACTGTAGAGCGAGGATAATTTTCGACTCGGGTCCTGATTTCTGCAGCGTGATCGGCTGCGTCAACATGCACAGGTCTTTCTCCTTCAGCAAGGCTCGAATGCTGTACGTCAGTTGTCCCAGGATGCTGCCAGTTTTTTGATCCAATGCCTACATTCACAAGTCACATTATAATAAATTCTCTTACAAAAAAGTCTAACTCCTGTTACATGCAAGTCCCTAACTCAAACATGTTAGGGAAAAAAAATCCGTTACATAAATAAGGCAGTAAATCGATTATTGAAGTAATGACGTAGAAACTGAAGTTTTCATTAAAATTAACGAAAAATTCTTACTTTAATTTCTAATAGATCAATTTCTGGGTTCTGTACGAGGAAGGAGTATCCAATCTCGTAGACAGGGTCGTCTGTGCGCATCTGCACCGCCGTGTTCTCTGTCTTCTTACCCACAGTCACCGTGAGGTACGGGTCGGGCCGAGAAACTGTTCTTGCGTTCTACGAGAAAAATATAAATTGTAAGACATATTCGCACATATACAATACATCAAAATATTGATTATCTTACCGGCAGTTTCTTACAAGAATCAATATAGACGGATAACACAGCCGAACTAAGTTCACCGGTCTTCACTAATTGGGTCTCTGTTATAGCCTGAAAGACACAATAAACAACATTATAAGTAAATAATCTAAATTCATACATTCATTTCAAACTTTTACTCACGTGACTAAGGTCGGTTAAGTCGGTAGATAGTCTATGCCATGAGAGACGAAGGTACACCTTCCCATGTTTTGCTTGCTGCAGAGTTTGCCACTGAAATATACATAAAGAACTCAAAAAAATGTCAGTACAGGTACTTGAGTTACTGTAAGATAATATGTATAGATACATGTTTTGACAATGAAAACTCATGGCTTACCGTATCCAATCGGCCGGCGCGCACAACTTGAGAAATATCCAAGGAACATCTGTAAGTTCACGTAACTTTATTTTTTTTAAATAAATTAACCTTAAAACATTTTTTACAACACTCATAACATTTATTACTATATTGTATTTATTAGAGAACACATTTAACACGCAATGTTAGTAGTATTAATTAAAACATAGGCAAAGCTTTATTAGCACTGTAAGTAAAGCTTTAAATGAACGTTTTCTGCTGAAAGAGAATTTCCAGTTATTTAGATGTGAAGAAAAAGTGAAATTTAAACTCACAACATTAAGATTACAACAGCAAATAAATAAAAAATATGAAAAAATAGGTCAGATGTTAATTTGAAAAATCATTATACGTGAAATTCGAAACAGAAACTGCTATAAAAAAAATTACTAAATTCTAAAGCTAAATGTTAATTTTCTATTTCGAATTTTGCTTAAAATAATATAAATGCAATTTCTATAAAAACTTTTAGTACAAAAATAAAACGTAATTAAAATTTGTAATTAGTGAAAACAATGTTAGTAAAAGTAGTGTAAGTAACGATGTCTATTTCATACAATTTATATAAAGACAAGTATAATGTCTTGTTATTTATTTTAGAGACTACAGAGACGTTACAATTTGGTGACAGTCAATGGCAAGCATTTGTGCCTGGTGCTGTGGTAAACGTGTTATTTCGTTCACTTTTATGTATGAATTTAGTATGTAGAATGGGGTTGCCAGGTTGTCTACATTTTCATTTTAATTGCAAAAATCTTAATACATTTTTGATTTAAATGCTTCGATATTTCATTTACAACCTGACCACCCTGTATCTGTTGTCGTCGGTACTCTAGCAAGATGATACGCTACTGTTCGTGCGTACACAATCTGTTAGACGACAGACCTGCCCAGGCGTTCGTCTCTCCCCGCGCGGTCCCAGTCGAAAAGCCTGACGGTGACGCTGGTAGCGCTGCTTTGCAGCATTGACTGTCACAATTCACTCCATACAATCAGTGTTACTATATTTTTTAATATTTACTCTCAACATACGCTCAACAGTTAGTTATTAGTAGCAATAAACCTAAATCGTATATTTAATGTTACTGATACTTCATTATTATCCTATAATGGGAATTGCTAACACCTACATTTAGGGAAACAAAAAAACCACACGACATTAGCAACACCAAAAATATACACAAATTAAAATGGCCCAGTGGAAATGAATCTTTACATCACCTAAAAATTCAAAAGAAACTCTAAAAAAATTAATAATAACAATTTATACAAGTCTATAAAAACTGTTAGGATGACATAAAAAACCATGTGACATAAACGCAAAAGAAAAACACATGAAATCGGGGTATTGGTGTAGGTCTTAGTGACGTCATCGCAACGGACCTGCCGAGATAATCATCGTTCTGTATGCCCATCCCCGGGTCCCAGTCCCACAGCTCGCACTGCAGCACCTGGCTCTTCCGCGAGCTTATTATCGCCTTAGGACAAATTACACAACATTATTAAGAACATCTTTCTACGTCTATATCACTGCCTGGCCCTGCTAACACAAGGATATCTAATTTACCAAAGTTTAATGTAAACATCTGTATTACCGAAAATACAATTATTATAAAGATCTGGCCAAACAAAAAATACTTAAATTAAATTTTGAAATATGACGTTGAAAAGTTAAAAGATTATTACAAATGTTGTTGGACCTAATTTGTAAAAAATATTTTTATACTTACAAATAAAGTTGGATTTAAAAAAGTTTTGGATTATAACAATAAAAGCATACGTTGTGCAAGCAATGTCGATAACAATGAGAGGACAGTGAAATTTTCTAATTAATCGAAATTCTTTAATATTACTTAATCTTAGCTGAAAAAGTGGTAATTCAATTTCATGTTCTCTCAAATATGTATATTATCTTATAATGAGCGTGATTAAAAGAAGTCTAAGAAACATACAAAAATGATTTTTTTTTTTACTTTCTTGGACTTCCTAAAACAAAAGAAGCAAATAATAAACTATACTATTTAATCTACTGCTAGTTGCAAGCTTCTATACTTGTCATGCCCCAAGCGTAAATGTAGACGATTATTGATGGTGAAATATGTAAAAAAATTTGGAAAGATAGTGAAGATTTGTCCAATTCGCAAACCCAATCAGATGTGTTTATGATGTAATCATGCACTTTATGCTCGAATCCGGTCACCATCTACAAAATCGATTTGACTTCGATAATCGATTTTCAACATGATTAAATAATCGATATAATCAGTCGTAATCGTCCACGTTTACTGAAGCGTGTGCCTGTCACCAGTGCGGCCGTCACCCGGGCTGTCGCGCCTCACTCACCTGCCGAGCTTGTCATCGTCGTTGCCTTCGTCTTTGTCGAACACTTCTATTTCCAACGCTTGACCCAGCGATTGCATAATACGCGCCTTTACGCCGAACGCACAAGTCCGACGCAAACATATGAGTAGAGGAAAAGAAAATCAAATTCACACTAACTTATTGCCAATTATGTTTTATTCATTCGAAATGTCTGCACAGACAATAGAATGGAACGCTAGAGATAGAAAAGAAGGATGCGGCGTCGAAGGAACGTCTAATTAAATACCCAAAGCATTAATATAATCAAGCTATGTTACTAGAATATAAAAAAGTTTTGATTTTTGTTAAATCTTTCATGAATTATAAACATTGCAATCTGTCAAACAAGGCTATAATCACCTTTTTTATGACATTACTAAAAACTTGCAGTAAAGCATATTACTCTACATTATGGGACCTAAGTTTTTATTCGTAAATTAATTTTACGCAACTCTTGGTTTGCACCACATCTCATGAAAAATATAACATATGCAGAAATACAAAATAAAAATTTAGTGTTACCAGCTTTACTGGTTTTGGTATTAACTGGAGTTGGTATGGAATACAAAATATTCATTCATCTTAATTGAAATGAATCAATGAGAATAATTTTTGAACGTAAATTAGTTACATAAACATTCCATAACAGATATTGATATAGTTTTAGTGACATGCAAAGATAATTAAATGTTAAAATATTAATCAACCTTTCTCAATAAAGTTTAATTAAAAAGTAATAAAAATTGGTATTATTAACTTAACTTTGTTACATGCCACAAAATGTATATAAAATTTAAAATAACATTATTTACATACGAACTAAATTAGTCACAAATTTGTCATTTTATAAAAAAGCAAACAAAATGCCACTTTGTTTTTTCGTGTGCAGAACATAGAATAAAAAAATGCGTTAATTTCTCGCACGTTTGATATTAAAATTACGAATACTTTTTAGAAAAATAGGATATTAATTTAATCAAAATAGTAGCAAAAACCAACGCATCTTAGAAAAGTGCAATTTAATAAATGGTTTCATAAAAAATAGACAACAATTAGTTGAAAAAGTTTCAATTTTAAAGTTATCTGTGCAAAAAAGTGCAATATCCTTAACCAGTGCGAGATAAAAAATGTACAATTGTCTATGAAACACTTACCTCGCACCAGAAGTCCCAGTGAGGGTTGACGTCGTTGTCTATGTGTTTGGTCTTCCATTGCTGCGCTCCAACGGTTATTATCGCGTAAGGATCCGACTTACCCTTTCCTGGATATAGAAAAAACATATGATATGAGATAAATACTCTAATTTTTACTTTAAGATACAAATAAATCAAAGGTATATTTGAACTTCACTCACCTAACATAGAAACATCTTTTTTCATTAAGTTTTGAGCTTGGACAAGATGTATACGAAGTACACCCTAAAAAAAATACATCTTACTAATATTATAAATGCGAAAATTTCGATGGATGGATGTTTGTTAGAGCTTGTAAATTACTGAACGGATCTCGATGAAATGTGGCTTAAATGGAAAGGATAGTCTGGAAGAACACATAAGCTACTGACTTTAGTTTTTATCTTTAATTCCACGAGGACGTAGTCGCGGGCAAAAGCTAGTTAATTTTTATATGTGTATGAGTAAATAATAACTCCGTGTTTACCTCAGGTTCAGGCATGCGGAGGTCCACAGTGGGTATCTCGTCACTCAGTTTAATGGGCAGCTTGTTAGGCAACACCATGATCCGAGAAACTTGTTCCACGATACAACGACGCAAGATGTCACTGACAAATATATCATTACAATAAAAAAAAAAAATATTTCCACAATACATGACGTAAAAAGACTTGTTTAACATTGTTTACAATAAAGTAGTGATTTTAAATTACAAACATACGAAAATTTTATTATAAATAAAACTCACCTAAAGCCAGGCATGTCCAATATATCGGCAGCACCGACCAAGTTGAAGTCAATAGAGGGGTTGTTGAGGAAAAACACCTGCAGGCCCCCCACCAGCGGCATCTTGGTGATCAGGGGCTTCATCACAACACGTACCATGCCATGGATCTGTCAATAAAAATATTTTCAAACATACTGCAAAACTACCAACTAAATATATAGTGTCTATTCTCATCTGTTGTGTTTTGGGGTTTTAACACTTTCTATTTTTTTTTCTATAAGAGAGTCTATAATAAAAGAAATACTTTTAAAACCTAAATCACGATATACAAACAATATTAAATGAAATATTAAACCTGTAGATCCTTTATTCCTCCTCGAATACGTTGTAGGACGAAAGATATGTCGCAGTCGCCGGCGTAGCTGGAAATAACATACAGTAGAACCTCGATAAGTTAAAGTCCAAGGAAAGCACAAAATACTTTAAGTTATAGAGGTTTTAAGTTATCAAAGGTCTATGTTATAGAGGTTTTAGGCTCTGATGGGAAGGGAACATATTATATTTTGAAGTTACAGAGGTTTGAGTTATCGAGGTTCTATTGTACTAATATTAGGTGTACATACAAAGTTAAAAGTTTACATTGTACATATATTTAGAAGTGTTACAAAACTTACATTTCTCATATCAACTAGAAATTAAATTAGAATTTTATAAAGGGATATGATAACATTCAAGTGACGTAAGTGGTGGTGGACTTATCAATGCTTTCACAGTGTTGAAATAACTTTTATCTACGTTGCGAAAATTGAATGGTTGAACCCATACATTATGGTAATTAATAGGTAGATAATATATGTTTAGGGGGTTTCACTAAATCAAGGAATTATAATCAAAAGTTTATAAGTAATGTTTGGGCATTTCTGTTAAACAAAAATTTGATAGCGTATGTATTTCAAGATACGTAGTTTTTATGTAAATGATGAAACAATTTACTTATACTCACAACAGGTCAATGTCCATGATAATTTCATTTCTCGAGAGATTCTTGTCATATACTTTCACACCGCCAACTCGAGGGGCCTTAAATTAATTATTATACATTTTGAATTGCACATAGAATTGACATAAACCATAGTCTAGCCATCAAACAAAGGCAGGAGGTAGCTTTCGTCAGATTCCAAATAGAGTTGGGTCTGTACGATTCTTTAATGTAAATTTAATGTCCTTCATTTGACTTACAATTGTGCCGAGAATCATACGTTCAAATCTGAACCCATTGAGTTTATAATTAGCCAGGCTTTCGGCAACCGCCGGCTCGATCGACTCCTTCAGTATACTTCTGGCATAGTGATTCACATTCGGCCAAACTTGTAGAAGTATCTGTGAAACAATTTTTCTTTATTAAATTGCTGAATTTATATTAAAAAAAAAACAAAAGTTAATAAAATAGTTACCCTGTTTAACCATTCCGCTCGCTCTATATCAGGAAAGAAAACCTGAAAATAAAACAAATCTTTATTGTCTTAGGAAAGTGATTTAGCAATTTAAAACGTTACACATACTTATATTATTGACATGTTTAATGAAACACAAGTAACAAATAGGGTTGATATATAACGTGACGTAATCAGGTTGACGCAAGGCCTCGCCTAACGATAAAAGGCTGTTAGCGATATTATTCAATAACCGTCTGTCGCTATAAAGCATTTAGCCAAACCATTTATCGACATAAAGCAAGTTTAAACACCTAATTAAGAGTTAACTCGTGCCAATTTTAAAAAAGCATATAGTAAATTTGCTGTAAAAATCTATGTTATGTATTTATATAAGCTCACCCAGGCTGGAAGGTCGTCAAGTCTCGCCAAAACAATATCTTTTTCGGAGGAGGAGGCAGCGGCCTTGGCCAAGTTGCGGCGGTACTCGTTCTCTCTTCGCCATTGATCTCGTATGACGGATAACACGACGGGTCCGATGAGCCAAGCCACGCTCCATTGCATATAACCCACTAAATATACAGCACCGACTATCGACACCTGAAATAATGGTTTATAACTAAATAATAATATAAGCATAATCTTAATTAAATCTTATTATCTTTATACATATAATAACATTTGAGTGTCTGTAATATCAAAAGAAAAGTTCTAGATTTCGGAAAGATGATGTATTTGCGTAGCTAATAACGATAATCGCATTCAAAAAATATTTGTCTATCTGTCTGTCCGCAAGCCGCGTTTGTTCTGGGTAATCTACGAAATAGCTGGGCCAATTTCAACGGGACTTCCGCTGGGGGGTAGCTGACATAGACAGGCTTATTAAAGGCTAATTTTGTTTTTAATTCCGCGATGTCAAAATGACGATCGGACCGCTATCTCTGGAACGGGTGATCCGATTTGGACAGGACTTTAACTGGAAGATAGCTGTTAAAATGAAGATGCACACGGGAATGTTTTGCGCTAGCGAAGTTTGCTAGCGACAGCTAGTATTGGTAAAAGATAGGTAATGATTTTCGAGCAATTACAGAAAATTCCTAATGATTCTGGTTTCAAGCTGTGATAGCAGAATGATGAACGTTTAATATATATTCTTAAGCATATTTTATTTTAACTGAAAATGAGACTTATATTTTGTAATCAGTATTTTCATTACATTTAGTTACAGATGTTGACGAGAAGACAAGTGACACAGTCATGACAATGCAATGCTAATTTAGATAATTCTGTTAACCTCTCTGTTTACATACATTATCTTTAGACGTTAATATGTGTCGTTTCTCATTACTCTACCAAATGTTTTCTGGTTTAAAGAAATAAACTAAGAGATAAAAGATTGTTTGACCACAAACACTTATATAAAAATAGCTTTGGTTTCTTAAAATACTTTAATATTATGAAGGACACAATAAAAACCGAAAGAAATTGATAACCATATGAACATATTCATGAGTAGATAATCGCTGGTAAAGTCGCGGGAAAAGTTAATAATCGAAAAGTCCCAGGATCTGTTATTATTATTTTTACTCTTATATGTATTATTTTTATTTTTGGTTACTAAATTAAATCACCAAATACACATTATAACATGTATTAGTTTCCGTATGAACAGATAAACACTTTCCGTAAGTGTGGTCACACAATTGAATGTGGCATATTAAAACTTCCATTATCATATTGGTGTCATAGTTATTTTTAGAACAGGTTGGCAAAAGCCACTGCTACTATTTCTAATGGCATTGTCTGGAGCCTTTTATGCATCATATCTTAATAGCAAAGCCTTAGCTCTTACAAATGTCTAAGATTAAATTCTTATAAGAAATAATTTCCCATAAAACAAATAATTTTTGCATTACAGTTATTTACATCATTTTCTAGAAGATGTTTTGAAATAACATTAAATAAGAGAAACAGTACTAGTAAAAAGGAAATATAAAATATTAGTGTAATAAAACACAATTGAGAAGATAGATGTATAAGAATTAATAAAAAAATGACACATTGATAAGAATCATCCTTATGTAGTATGTGCTTTTCTGCAGTGTTGCTCATTTATTCACATTAGATTGACTTCCTTAAAGCCACACAGATAAAAATACCTAGTCTAATTGACTGCATTCATGTAGGTGGTAATTTACAGACACATTATATTAAATAACCAATACACATGTTGTATCTAATATATATTATACTAGATGTTGCCCGCGACTTCGTCCACGCGTCTATATCGGCTAACCTTCAGTGAAAGTCTGGTCGAAATATGCCCAGCCTTATCGGAGATTACCCGGAACATGGCATGTAGGCAGACATACAAAAAAATTAAAAGCCATGTTCGTTATTGGCAATGCAAAAACCTTATCTTCCCAAAATCTGGAAGTTTTCTTTTGGTATTACAAATAGACATTCCAATTTTATTATATAGATATACAAATGGATAGATTATATAATACTCAATTTTATACTGCATTTATTTTAGATATTCTTGATATATCCTCATGGATAATTAAATATGAATTAATGATTGTTATTGTAACATGCTAGAAGAAATATTAAGATTATCATCATCATCATCACCAGCTCACTATACGTCCCCACCGAGGGGCTCGGAGCCTACCCTAAAGTTAGGGTGACTAGGCCATAGTCAACCACGCTGGCCAAGTGCGGGTTGGTTGACTTCACACATATCTTTGAATTTCTTCACCGATATGTGCAGGTTGCATCACGATGTTTTCCTTCACCGTAAGAACGTCGGGTAAATTATGTACATATGAAAATTCGAAAAAAATCGAAAATCACATTGGTACATGGCGGCGGGATTCGAACCCAAGACCTGTAGATTACAAGTCAAGTGCTCAAGCCACTGAGCCACCGACGCTCTTATTATCTATATTATCTATTAAGATTATAGAAATACCTAAATAAAAAAGTTAAACATCAATATTTGTCAATTGTCATTTATCAATTGAGTATCCTTATATCTTTACAAATGTTACTGAACAAAGTAATAAGTAAGCTAAATAAACGAGACACTTATCAAACAAAAAAAGGTATTACAAACACAATATGTTTGGATACAATATATGATTATTGGAACTATAACACATATTCTAAATGTTATGTTAAAAAATTTGTTTACTAACTAACACTTAGTATGAGTTGAAGGTTGCATACTATTGTAATGAGTCAGATATTTTAGTGGCTACTTGAAGGTCATTTTTGACTCACACATGTTATCAGAGTTCATAGTTACTTGGTTATTTTTTTTTGTTATTAAAAATTCTAATAAGAATACACTTTAATATTAAAGAACATACCCAAATTTACATTTATCAAAAAAAAGAAACGATTCATTTAAATTAGCTGTATTGTCATGTAAAAATAAAATTAGATATTACTTTTACAAATAAATATACTCCACTTACCTTTTTACAGAATCTGTAGATCATGCCCAGCACATCCATGTTATCTTCACTGCTTACAGGCAGCGCAAATTTGCTTGTTGCTGCCATGTTATTATTATTCGCCTACAATATACAAATAATAGATAAATAACTCAAAATAAAATAATAATATCAGAAAAAAATATGCTGTGGAATTTAAAAAAAAAACTGAATAATTTTAGAAACTTGAGGAAATTAGAACTTTCTTCTAAAAGAGTTGTTAGAACATTTGATAAATATTTTTAAAGGAAAGGTTAAGGCCTGAGTCAGTTTTATTTATAGATTTTCCATAAAAGCATAGTAGGTCGAGATAATGGTCACAACTGTGTAATATGTTTACATAAATGAACATATAACATACCATTGTAAAGAACACAAGGCGAACGGCGTACGGCAAATTATAAACTAAAAACAGTAGAACTACCAGAACTACTTCAATACGAACACTACAAAACTAACTGAAACAGAATTACCGAATGTCTGTCAATTTAGATCCTGACGTTAGCGGTAAGTCCTGAGCCAATTTGATACGTGTAGAAGCCTAAACTTCTTTTATGATAACTATGTAAAGCAGTCTCCTGATACCATTATTTACATAATTTCATTGATGTAACTATTGATTATTGAGTAAATCAATAGTTATTCGTGTTATTTTTATTTGTTATTTCTATGAAAGTTTTGACAAGTATGGCTTGACTTTTGACAGTGACAGAACAAAATTGGACATTGCTAGTTGCAGCATTTACAAAGAGTGGTGATAACTTAAAATGCCATCAAGTTTTACTACTGTAAACTGATAAATTTGTATTCGTTTTATATCATGAATTTTAACTTCATAAACATACTTATACATTGACATTTGATATTGAAGATGCGTAGCTTGCTTCGTAAACTTTTGCTGTTTACAGCCGCACTAGACTCGAAAATTATGAAATACCTATATGTAAAAATTTTATCAAAATGTTAAGGTGCCTACCCTAGAGACCCAAATCCCCAATCAGCTGGTGACGCCTATGCATCGCAGTTAAAATAAAAATAGACATAAGAGAAATGTAAGGTGTGAGATATCGGCCATTGGCTTGCTTTGAATGAAACGGTATAAAGGCAAAGTAGTAAACAAATAAAACTATTACAATTGTAATTATTTTTTCTTTTTTATTTTGAAATCTTTATAACATGATTCTATAATACAAAACACCATAAATGACTAAAGAAATATTTTATAAAATGTTTGAATAAAATGCGTTTAAAAATTCATTCATTAAAACTTAATGTCTATAAAATGACAGCAAAAATATTTTTCTAGCAATTGAACTATTTATAATTCATAAGTAACATTCATGTACAATTATTTATTATGGAATGATCTGTTTATAATCTCTAGTTATTAAAAAAAAAACAATGTATATAATTTCATTAAATAATTTCTAAATCTATTGTGTCTAAACAATTCAAATTAAGCACATTTTCATAAAAATTATCATGTGTAGAGCATTTCATGTCTTATTTGTGATATGACACTATAGTTATATGCTTATTAAACATTTAGTCATTTATTAAAATAAAATCTAAATACTAATAACTTGTAGTTTGAAAAGTTTTAAGTAATTGTTAAAATTCTGTCGATATTTTTACGTCACTAATTTTTTTTATAATCTACTAAATTATAAATATTTTGCATAGGTAACTTCAAAAACTTAACAATTTTTAAGATTCAAATAAAATTGCATGTTTACATATAAAAAAGCGCAAAAAAAAATGAATAACTTTATAAAGATATTTGATAAATTCGTTTACAATCTACAATGTCAGTCAGTAGTGTTATAAAATCCAATTTGAAACGCAACAAACATAAGCCCATATAAAAAAGGGCTAATAAATGCAAAATATTTTTTCTCTTCTCACCTCCACAATCTTTACTAACACTTGGAGTAATGATTTGAGATGCAAATAGGATTCATTTACCCTTATTTAAGTTTGTGCGTTAAAATTACACACATTACAATCTCCTAAATCTCACATATTGAAATATCTAACATTATTATAAATTTGTTGACCTTACATTTACATTACAGTTTTAACAACAGTCAATAGTAATATATTGCATGCCACTTGAATAGTTAATTAATCTATAACTATTAAAGATATAAGTACATATACTCCAATTTTCTTATACAAAAACAGCTAACTAGATTTATAAAAAAATATAATTCCCCACCTACTCTCACTACTACTATACCATTTGATAGAGAATATAGAAACTAGAATTAACATAAAAAAAACCTGGCTTTCTTTTTATAGTTTTAGTTAACTTTACTGTGCCAGATGTTTCACGCGTTCCAGTAAAGCGTCGCAAGTTTTCTTTGCGTCGCCGAGCAACATAGCGGTGTTAGGGTTGTAGAATATCGGATTGTCGACTGCAGCGTAACCGACTCCCATAGATCTCTTCATAACCACAACCTGAAACAAAACATCAAGTACGTGAATAAGAGAAAAAGGGTAAGACGAAATGTCCAATGTGAAAAGATTGGTGATAATTTACCTGATCTGCTTTCCATACTTTGAGAACTGGCATACCAGCGATAGGTGATTCGGGGTCATCTTCAGCGGCACTATTAACTGTATCGTTAGCACCTAAAATGAAAAGTAAATATTACGTGTTGTCTTTTAAATGTATTTCCATACTTTGTTCTTCATTTAAAAAAATAAACAGATATATGTGTTTGTATACATGTAATAAAATTCCTTCGTTGTAAACATTACATACCAATAACAAGCACAAGGTCTGTCTCTGGGAATTCATCATTAATTTCTTCCATTTCGAAGACATCGTCGTAGGGCACGCCGGCTTCTGCGAGCAACACGTTCAGTTGTCCGGGCATACGACCTGCAAAACAATTCATTTGTTAATTATAATTATAACTGTTATCACATAAAGTGACTGGTCACTACATCCGATAAGTCAAATTTGTTATAGTTTTAAATCAAATGGTTTAAATTACCTGCGACTGGATGTATAGCGAAGCGCACCTTCTTGCCAGCGCTCTTTAGCATGTCGACAAGCTCAGCGATCGGGTATTGAGCTTTAGCGACGCACAGACCATAGCCTGCAAGAGTATATCGTTATAAACAATATGCAAACAAAACAACTAAGTATTCGATTAAATTCTTAATAGTAGTAATCTTGAAAAAATCGAATTTGTATTTGTACATATCTTACATGTAACATATGTAAAAAAATAACTACAATATGTATCTTAAATCATCGTGAGGGGTAGTATACCGAAAGCATGGAGGGAGGAAGTAAGAAGAAGATAAATATTTATCTTAGTTAATGAATAAAAGTTAATAAACAGTATACCAGGTGTGATAATAATGGATGATGCGCGGTGAATGAGGTCGGCGACGGAGTCCACGTTGAGCTCCGTGTGTGTGGCGCCGGCGGGGCGCGCGGACCCGCCCGTCGTCACGCCGTACCCGCCCAGGATCACGTTCGGTAATGAACGATTCATTGCCTAAACAAATTATTACTTAAAATACATATACAAAGAAAATATTGGTGATGATTAACTAGACAGAGTAAAGGACATGATTGAACAACATAATTTTATACAGATTTTCATTCATATTTACATCTGGATCTATCATCTGTATCGATTTTGTCGTCCTCATATCTTGTCATAGAAGTTGAAATTAGAAGTGTCAGTGAGTTCGTGTCAATATATCTTTATCGCTTTCTATTTCTCTTAAATATATTGATAGGTATGTGGAGTATAAGTGAGTGTTGTGAGTTACCTTGCACATGATGTATGAGAGGATGGCGCCGGAGCTGCCGATGAGCGCGCCCACGATGGTCATGAGCGAGTTGTTGAGCATGAAGCCCTCCGCACACAGCGCCCACCCGGAGTAGCTGTTCAGCACCGTGATCACCACCGGCATGTCCGCGCCTACGTACACACCAATTAAATATGTAAAAACTAATAACTTTTAGTATGTGGAACAACTAACATTATATGTCTGCACAAGTTTTGAACTACATTCTAACAAAAATGACATAATACTACTACAATTCTGTTGAATTAATAAAACTGATACATTACATTAAGAAATCACGGCCCATCTCAGAATATACATTCAATGTGTACATATAATTATATAGGAACAGAGCCGTTTTTTTATTATTATTTATTTAAATCAGCTCTGTACCTTTAACATTAGGAGAGCAAATATTATTAAATAAATATTTATTTTCTAGTCGTTATAACCTCCGATAGCAGCTGTGAGCGTGAGTCCCTGTATGCCGCTAAGCAGCGCGGCGGCGGAGAGCAGCGGCAGGCCGGGCGCGTCGGGCAGCGCGATGAGCGCGCCGCCGCAGCCCAGCGAGCCCGCCAGCAAGCCAGCGTTCAGCGCGTGCCGCCCCGGCAGCAGCAGCGGGGCAGACGACAGCGACCCCTGCAGCTTGCCGTACGCCACCAAGGAACCGCTGCAATACAGTACTCATATTAGTATTTTAAGTTTTTTAAATATACGTGGCTGTTTGGTATATAAATAAGAAATAATGAAATGAATACTTCATATAAATATTATAAATACGAAAGTTACGATGGATGGATGCATGTTTGTTAGCGTTTGTAGCCTAAACAGGTGAACGAAATTCGGTGAAATTTGGCATAGACGTAGATGATAGTCTGGAAGAACACATAGGCTACTCCGTTTTGATTTAATTCCACGCGGACGGAGTCGCAAGCGAAAGCTAGTTATTTATATAACCATTAATACATTTGATACAAATTTAGTTTTCTATACTATTATTATAAAGAGGAAGATTTGTATTTTTAGATTATTGAAATAAATTCTTTCACCATTATTATTAAAGAAAGGTATTTTATAAAAAAACGCTACATACTTTATTACTTTTTTAATTTCATGCAGACGAAGTCGCAAACAACAGTTAGTCTGTGATATTATATAATGTACTCACGTGAAAGTAATGCCTCCAATGTATGTGCCGAGGAAGAGCGATGTCTTGAGTGTGACGGCTGTGGGGTCCAGCGCCATGGCGGGGAAGTCGTGCATGTACGTGGCAACGCACGTCAGCACCGCCGCCATGCCCACCAAACTAAATTAACATTTAATATATTTTTATATAAACAAACATACAAAAGCATGAGAAAATCTTATACCGTCGTGCGGTTATACGACCAGGGTTATCCAACTTAATTAAACCCAAAATCTATTGTTCACAGACGAAAAAATTTGAGTGATCTAGTAATTACATATTTCTTGAATTTGATACATTTTATTTCTAATATTTATATAGTCTATCAGACTCACAAACAAAAATTTGTACTAATATTTAGTTATACTCAGTTTATTCCTAAGTTTAAATTTATATCGCGTTTATTTGTAAGAGTGCATGTATTTATATTTTTTGCTTTGCCACCTTGCCACTGGAGTAACAGTTGCGATTGATCGACGGGTTGGCCCTTCTATTAAGTAACAGCAAATAATCGTTGCATACCTGTGGAAACCAGCCACCAGTTGTGGCAGGTCAGTGATCTCGATTTTCTTAGCGATGACAGTTCCTAATAAACCGCCGATACCAGCGACACCTATCATCTGCGCGAGCACCTCAGCGTTGGGCGTCATTGCGCCCAACGTCGCCGCGATACCGCCCGCTACTCCGATCTACAATACATATATTATAATAATATCTGTCTGATATTGCTAGCATAAGAATATTTAATTATTATTGCAATCTCATATTACTAAAGAATCATCAAAATTGTGACTAGCTGTAACCCAAGTTGCCACGTTATATTTTAAATGTATAACTACGACTAGATAACATAAATTTGAACTTCAAAATTTAAGTAGGATAAATATAGTCATAATTATAGACTGAAACATGGATACTACATATTTAAATTAAGAAAATTAATAAAAAGATGAAAATTAAATAAAAATGATACCAGTTATTACTGTATTATGTAGGATTCATGTTTTTGTAGTCAACAATGTCTCACTGCCTTTACAATGATCAATAGATTGAAACTAAAGTCATCAAGATTACAATGAGCGGGTCTTCTTGGGTCGAGTCTTGTAGCTGTCAACATTTATGGATGCCTTTTCTAATCATCGATTGCAATAGTAGACATATTCCTATATCAATGAAATAAATAAAACATACCATTCCAAGATAGTTTCCTTTCCTAGCAGTGGTCTGCGAGCTGAGTCCAGCGAGTGCGCCCACGCAGCATAACGAAGACGCCAAGTATGCCATCTGATGCACTTCAGGGTAACCCTGGGATACAAATATTTTTTAATTGGTTGTGAAATAAATCAGTCACTTATGTAGTTAAATACATTTACAGCCGAATACTGAAACGACATTTAAATACATAACAATGATTTAAATGAAAAAGCTGTTTTCTCTAAATTCCATTGAAAGAACGTCGTTTACGATTGGTATATTCGTCCCCTAGTATGCTTGAATAAAGCAGCTGATTGTATACCTGCATTGCAGTGGTAATATATCCTCCGAGTAAAGCCGCAGCTGGGATTCCATATAAATATCCATATTCCGGTGGGTCTCCAGGTCTAAAAATAAAGTATGGACTTTAAAATCGTCAAAAATGTTCAGGCTTAAAATGACATATATTTGTTTTTTAATTCATGTAGTTATAATATTTTAAAGTATATCAATACCTCTTGAACATGTCAAGCATGCGCTGGGTGACAAGGAATCCACCAAATACGTTGACGAAAGAGATGAGTGCAGCCGTGCTGGCCAGCCACTGGAATAAGTAGATTAAATTATTGAAGAACTAGTTGTCAAGAAAGGGAGTTAGTAATTTTATTAATTAAAAAGTAAAATAGTGTGTATAGAATTATATTGACAAACATAAATTTATAGTGGAAATGATACATCTCACAAGTTTACTAAATATGATGATCTAGATTGTTTGTTTTTCTGATAAATATTTTGAGTCTTTACATTTTTTAATCCAATATGGTATTAATACTGCATTACAGTGAATTTATGATAAAAGTGATAAACAATAATTGCATGGAATGTCATGTGACATGATTTATTTTATCTTTTTCCTTTAAGAAGTCAAATATATTTAAAACATTATCAGATAAAAATAGCATCCTTTAACTGCATAATATAAATGATATACATACTTAAATAACAAATGTAAAATAATTTACAAAGCACTATAAATTTATGATGGCTGGCAATTTTGAACAAAACATATTTCCCTTCCCCTCAACGGGGTCACATGCAAAGTCATTCAACATTTGATGTCAGCTAACTAGCTGTTATATTTTTTTATTTTTAGTTGAACCCGACAAATTTGCTCATCCTCCTATCATCCTCGTCGTTTTCCTTTTAAGAAATGGGTAGATAAAAGGGAAAATTAGGTCTCCGGCACACTCAACACAAAATGCAGATTTGCTTCTACTTGACGGTTGTCTTTAAAAAGTTGCAATGTAATACCTGCACGGGGGTCTCGGGCACGTACCCGCCGCCCATGAGCAGCAGGCCGCCCACCGCCGTGATGCCCGACACCGAACACCTATCTCGTGGGCGTAAAAAGTCTGCTGACCTTGAACTTTACCGCGGCGTACAAAGTCTGCCCGTGCGAACGCACGCTAAAGGTATTTAACATAGGACTATCATACTTTGGAAACAAACAATAAGAATATGCCAAAATGTAAAGCTACTGAACATAGATTAAATTATGTTACTATTATTTCTACTGAAATAGAATTAAAAACCAACAAATAGGTATTGTATATAAATAAGAATGTAATTATTACCTGACAGTGCTAGTGTAGTTGTCATTGTAGTGAATGCTGGATTTGGTGACGCTATGCCAAGTCCAATCAAGCTGGCTAAGCCTGCAAAACTACAAATAGTTAAATACTTACAAAACAGTGATTTACGTATCTATATTTAACTAGATTTCGCCCGCGAATCCGTCCACATGGAATTAAAAAGAAAAACAAAGTAAGTAGCCTATGTGTTCTTACACACTATCCTCAAGATCTATGCCATATTTCATCAAGATCCATTCAGTAGTTTAGGATACAAACTCTAACAAATCCATCCATCCATCTAACTAAACTTTAGCATTTATATTAGTAAAATTAATTATTAATACATATTGAAATTTAGTTCTTTGAGTAAATAATAAGATTAAGAAATTACCTGTGGAATAAAGGAATGTATCTTTCAGTGTTTCATTGAATGGATTTGGAGGCTCCGCTTTGGCAGCTGCAGTTGCTTTTGTAGTTGTGGTGGGTGTGGCCATGCTGCGTGGTGGGGGCGCCGGCCAGAGCAATTCTCCAGCTTTCAACACTATTGCTCCTCGGGTAACTTCATCCTCCAAATCAATGAAGAAATGGTCATTGTTACCTAATGGTCAGTTTACTTGAATCAGTATATCTTTAAATTTAAATACAAAGTTAAATGTAACATATAACCAATTAAGAACCTAAACTGTAACTCACCAACACTAAAGAGGAAGCCAGAGATATTGTTAGCATAAAGTGTGGATGCATGGGCTGGCATCCGGCTTGGCAGATCTGTGAGGCCAATGTGTGTGACACCATGCACTTTGGTGATCTCCCCTTTCTTTGTGGTCTCCACATTGCCACCCATCTCCGCAGCCAAATCTACGATCACACTGCCTGGCGCCATATCCCGTACTGCATCCTACACATATTAACACAGAGAAAGTTTAATATTTAGAAGCAATCATTTGATGTCTTGAAACATTGGTTATGTTTATATGAAAAAAATTTAACATCATGGTGTTAGAAATAGGTTATCTTTTAAATTAAGTGTTTTGTATAATAACTAACCTCAAGAATAAGTATCGGCGCAGGTTTGCCAGGTATAAGAGCAGTGCTAATGACCACATCAGATGTTCTCGCTTCTTTTCCGAGTAAAGCTCGTTCTGCTTGTAGAAACGCATCACTCATTTCTTTTGCGTACCCTCCCTCTCCTGAACCTTCTTCCTGTATTTAACATCAGGTATATATTTCAGAGTTCTATAAATCTGAATAAGGTTATTCATTTTGTATTTGTACACTTCAAATTCAGATCAACAAATTCATAGAAGAAAAATAACAAAAAAAAGATAATATGTCACTTTAGTTATTGTCTATGCTCATAATTATTTATGTCAAGATAAGACAAAATAAGGCTTTGTTCTTTCTGCCGTAAAATTAAAACATTGATATCACAATGTAATCAATTTACATTGGTTATACAATATGAAACAACGTAATATATGAATAAATATAACGTGACGAGGATGATACGATGTAACGACGTTAACTATAGGACCATTTTGTTATAGACAACAACAATTACTAAACACTCGCAAATTTCTAAAGGAAATAGCTGTAAACAAAAAGGGCATACAAAGATACATGACAACGCTACGTCTATGTCTACATAGAGGTGAGATCTAGGACATTTACCAATGGCGCTAGCAGCCAAGGCCAGGTGGACGCTGCACCCCAACCACAAGGATTAGGGTGCACACCACCTCTGAAAAGTAAATTACATTATAAGCAACCAAATACTGTGTTTGTTTTAGAAATTACGTCAATAAAAGTTATAATTTGCATCATAATGTTATATAAACTAATTATTTTGACGTGGTGGTGGATAAGTAATATAATCTAATAAACGATTACGTAGTTTTTTAATACTTTGTAGATAAATATTTTCATATTAGAGAAGACAATCAATTTCATTGACAGTAATCACATTCAATTGCTTTTGATTAGGGTAACAATTTCAAACAACAATATAAGTTTCAAGGGCATTGTTTATGTTCCTCCTCGCTTCATAGCATACTTTTTGGTTCTAATTACTTTTCTATTTTCGGTACCTAAAAGTAGGTTAAAAGTCTAGCTGTAGATTTTTATTTAACTCTCAACAATAAAATAGGTCATGGTCAACATTATTTCTGCAAGTGTTTTGCAAAATCTGACGAAAGAAGTTACTTGCCGACGTAATGTTTTTTTTTAAATTACGTAACGTCGATTAGGGGATTACCC